GAATGGAGCAGAACGGGATGGAGCCGAGGCCACAGCGTGCACTGCAGTTGGAGACAGAAACCTCTGCTTGTCTCTGCTGAAGATGTGAAGCTCCCGGCATGGATTTGCTCTGTCAAATGAGGAGAAATTAAACCAGCTGATTCTGAGGATGCCATCTGTGTCCCAGGTAGCAGCAGCCTCCAGCATTCCCCAGCTCACAGCCATGACTGTGCCACTGGGACATGGTGCAAGTCACTTGTGTGGAGCCGGAGGGTTCCATCCGGATGAGCTGCCAGAGTGGGGATTTCAATGAGTGAAGTCCTCTGACATAATTAACCTGTGAAGAGATGGGCCCTGCACAGCTGGAGCACCCTGGGCTTCGCAGCACTACTGAGAACAGGAGCTGGAGCCCTCCAGGCCCCTGATCCAGCTGGGAATAATGCACTGCACAGTGCTGTCTGAAGGGCAGGGCAGGCTCTCCTGCATGCACAAATGGGACCAGGAATTGCATTATCCCTATGAGAACACAGGCAGAGCCTGGACAGGGTGCCCAAGGAAGCTGTGGCTGCCCCATCCCTGGCAGTGCTCAAGGCCAGGTTGGACACAGGGGCTTGCAGCAAGCTGCTCCAGTGGAAGGGGTCCCTGCCCATGGCAGGGGTTGGAGCTGGAGGAGCTTTAAGGTCCCTTCCAACCCAAACTTCTCTGGTATTCTATGGTAAAACCCTTTTCCAGCACCTGGTGCCCTTCTCCTAGTTTTGGGGCTGGGAAGGGAAAGTAGCCTCCACCCCCCCTTTGCCATCTTTCCCTCTGATCTCTTCCAAAGCAGCACAAGCAGCCCCAAAACCATTCCCTGGAGGTGTCAGTGTCCCTGCTCCCCCCGAGAATGCTGGCACTCGGAAAGCCTCGAGCCAGCTGACTCTGCAACAGCCCTTCCAGAGCTGGTTTAATACAGAAGGATTTGGGATTGATGAGCGGGAGCCCTGAAACACGCAGTGATTTGGGATGAGGAGCCTCTGGATGCAGGCTGGGCAGTTCATTGGAGCTGCCGGCTGTCAGCTCCACGCTATTCCCCAGCGAGAGGAGTTCCTTAAAGGTCCATATTAAAGCCATCATCTTGTCTTCTCTCCCTTGGTGTGGTGACAGTTTCCCCCCGACACTGCCCATTATTGGAACCTCTATTCATGTCACGTCAGGAGGACGGATCGGCTCTCAGGAGAGTCCTCCTTTACTGGGAAGTGGCATCTCTGTCGTGTAGTCCGGAGAGAAATCAATGAGCAAACTAGTCAGGGATCAGCAGGCGAGGTGATAACTCTCCACTTACACCAGCATGCCTCGCTTTGCCTTGTTTAAGGGGAGCAATGGCAGTGTGCAGGAGACTGAAGGCAGAGAAGGAGGAACCAGCACCAGGGCTTCCTTGCTGTAGCGGATCTGCTTTTTCCCATCCCACTTTCTCCCTGCCTGCACTTTGCAGCAATATATCAGTCAGGAGGTCAGGTGTGCTTGAGGTGAATTTCTTCATGCTCAGCAAGTCTGTCTCGCAGCACGCAGCGAGAGGGGAAACAAGAAGAAAAATGATCAGATTTTCTCCTCCATTGGAAGAGTTGAATATTAGCTCCTGGTATATAAGATAAAGTGGGGATAAAGGGTCACGTTTCCATTAGATCTTCTTAATTGGGCTATTTCCTGCAAGCACAAAATCAATCTTTTCATCTACACCTACCCAATATCCCATTCGGGTCTCCTTTAATAATGCAGATCTGGCCTTTGTGCGTGCAGAGCGATGGGGTACAGGCAGGGAGATGCCATGAGGAGATGCCATGGAGATGCTCAGGCAAGGATGCGGCTGAACAACACCATGAGCAAACCAAGCACTGCGATGTGCGAGGAGCTGCCTGGGCTGTGCTGCAGGGATCGGGATGTTCCATGGGGATGGGGCTGTGCCAGCCGTTGGGAGCCCAGGCAGGCACCGGCCCTGTGTGAGTGATGGGAGGCTTTGGTGTCAGAGAGGAAAAGCCAATCGTGAACCCGCATCCTGGGTCAATATCTGCCAGTTCCTGAGGAATTGCCACCTTGGAGCAACCACAGTGACAAAATAGAGACAACTGGAAAAACGAAGCTCAGGAGAAGAGGCCGCTCGGCTCACTGGGAACGTCATCTGCTCTAATTGGAAGCTTTGTTTAATTTGGCTTTGAAATTGAACTCCTTTTTCTTCCTGGAGAACTGTTATTACCTTAATTCTCTGCTTTGAATAAGACCATTTATACGGTCAAATCCAGCTGGTTTGCAGCACGGTGAACTCGCTGAGGGCAGCAGCACTTGTGCCCTCCTGTGCCAGCTGCTGTGGGCAAGCCACGCTCCTTGAGTCCCACATTGTCTCCTCTTATTGATGCATTTCCCCCCTTTGCCTTTAGCCTTTCCTTAGTAATTGTATTCTTAATGAAAAGAAAGATCTGGTTTAACTTCCCTGCTCCTTCTGAGGCAGACACCGGCGCTTCCCAAAGGGGAGCAGCTCTAGGATGGAATCCTTTGGCTGTGGCTGGTTCGGGATCTGCTTGGCAAAGCGGGTTTTCCCATCTCCATACCGGCTCCTTTCCCCAGTTTTAGGCTGCTCGCTGTGCGTAGCTTATTTGCAGAACAGCAACAGAGGGAAGACAACAGCGTAATGAAACCATTGCCTCCCAATTTCCAAGTGTGGCCAACAAGATCAATGCGGCACTTTGGAAAAATCAAGAACTTTATCTCCAATCAGCCAGCTTTTATCTGCTTGGGAATAAACACGGCTGAGGAAGCTGGTGGTAGCAACAGCTGCATCATAAAGAAGCCTGAAGCCAGACCCTTCTGCTGGAAGTAAATAATTGATCTCACAAAAATTCTGCTTAGGCAGAGCCATTTCAATTACCTGCTGGATGGCGCCGGGCGCTGCGAGAGGTTAATGGCTCTAAAATATTTAAGGAGAAGCCGTTTGCCTGGGCCCAGCGTAGTTTGTCTTTCATTTACCCAGCGGAGGGGGACTGGAAGGCAAGCGGCAGGGAGCAGTGATGTATTGGGGTGACTCACTCACCAGGAGGGCAGTGAGGGGTGAAGGTGCCTCTTGCCACTGGTCACAGCAGCCCCAAGTGCCATTGCTGGATCCTGGAGCATGGCACAAGGTTTTCCTGAGGCAGCAGAGGTAGGGAGGTGATACATAAAAGGGAGTTACTGTAAGTGAGATGCTGCTGTGCAGCACCCCAGGGGCACTGGAAACTTGGACATTGAGTTTAGTGCTGCAGTATTTCTCCGTTGGTGGAAGGAGCAGCCTCCCAAAACCACCCAGCAGGGCCGAGCCCAGATGCTGCTAGCATCACTGGACACCAGCATCCCCTTGGGATGCAGGGGGGAGTTGTCTTGATTTTGACAACAGTCAAGTTTATTGTGGGGGGTATCAAAGAAGGTGTCGGGGAAACTCTTCATTAGGGACTGTAGTGACAGGACAAGGGGTAATGGGTTAAAACTGAAACAGGGGAAGTTTAGATTGGATATAAGGAGGAAATTCTTTCCTGTTAGGGTGCTGAGGCACTGGAATGGGTTGCCCAAGGAGGTTGTGAATGCTCCATCCCTGGCAGTGTGCAAGGCCAGGCTGGACGAGGCCTTGGGTGCCATGGTTTAGTGTGAGGTGTCCCTGCCTATGGAAGGGGGGTTGGAACTGGATGATCTTAAGGTCCTTTCCAACCCTAACCCTTCTATGATTCTATGAAGCAGCAGCTCTCCATGGGTACCATACACCTGACTGGCTTCCCCCTGCATTCCCCAGAGCTGCGGTGCATCCCGGATGATGCCCATGGGAAGGAGCACCCCAAGCCCAGGCTGCCCATGGGCCGAGGAGCACCCAATGCGCACCCGTGGCCGCCCGCAGCGCGCTATCAAAGCCGCAGTGTTCATCCCGCAGCAGGGTGCTCAGCCTTCGGCTTTGGTTTCACGAGAGCTTTGATCAAGCTACCTCAGCTGTGGGAAGCGCATGGTTCCCTTTGTTTCGGTTAACTTCCCTTTCTTCCCTTTCATCCTCATGAATTATTTATTCCTGTTTGTTCTATTCACTTTCATATTTTTGTTTGCTTCCCCATTAAAATTCTGCTTCGGTGGCTTCGGGAGGAACTTTGAAGCTCTCCCTCCTCGTCCTTAACCTTTCCGGAGGAACAAATTCCTCCTCACTGGGGAGGGAAACCCTTAAACCCTTTGCTCCCAGCTGCCCTTTGCTGGGTGCTCACCCTGCATCAGCCCCATTCCCCTCCTCCTCTGGGGTTAAGAGCACCTTTGGGTGCACATGCACATGACACAGCTCTGCCAAGGAGCTGACCGTGAAGAGGGAACTGTTCCTGGCCTTCCACCACGTTCCTCTTTGGAAATGCTGGGTCAATCAAAGCCTGCTCTCAGAAGGGACTGCTCCTCTCATGTTAAAGAGATTTTAAAGTCTCAAAGCAGAGCACAGATCCAATGGACAAACCCACCCTTGTGTGCTGCTCATCCCTGTCATGACCTCAGTGCCCCGGCTGGTTTTTCCATCCCTTTTCCATACAGCAGCTTTTTGGCTGCTCTCTTTTTACAGAGCTCTATTTTTTACCTTTTCTCAGTACTTTTTCCCCACTGAGAGATAGATTTTAGTCTGTTTGCCCTTAAATGAGCCCTCCCGAACCAAACGAGGTGCATCTGCCCTCCTGCATCACGTCTCTCACACCCACATGGCTGTTCACAGGTTTAGTAACTCCACATGCATTCATGTTAGCATCTGGGTGGGTTTTAGGGTTCCTCCTCATCTCCCAAAGGGAGATCCTGCAGAGTCATGCGGCACCCAGAAACACTAGAAGCAAATACAGGATGTGTCTACTTAACACAAACTTGGATCTGCCACCAGCTCTGCCAGACTGAGCCCATTGGGGCTGATCTGCACTGATTTCTCCATGTTTTTTTTGAGCTATAAACAGGTTTTTCCACTTTGGTAATCAGGCCTCAGGCTTTAAAACCCCCCTTTGGGCAGCTCTGCAGCATTTTGTCTGAGGCATGGGGCTGGTTATGCTCTGTCACCATGCTCGGGAGCGGAAGAGAAGATGCACTGCTTATTGCTTGGATAAACAAGTCTTCAACAGCCCTTTTACAAGACTCAGAAAGGTAATTACTCGGAGGGGAAGTGAAATGCCTTTACATTAGCAGGTATCATTTGTTCTAGGGTAGCAAATTGCTCTGTGGTTGCTGTTATTGCTTTGACAGCAGTGCCCAAGGCCCTTCTGAGGAGGGATGTGCTGCTCCCTGCCTTGACGAGCATGGTGCCTCTTGTCTCCTCTGCTTACCATCACTATCTGTAAATGTATCATGGAGAATTGGGTGCACTCTCCCGTTTGTGGTGGCTCAGTGCAATAAAGGGGTAATTAACTCTTATTATCAAACATGTCAGTGATGTGACTTGCCTCAGAGGATCTGGGAGTGCTCTTTAAGCTACCGTCCCTCATCCTGCAGCCCATGGTTAAGGGAAGGACTGTGCAAACTGACTGGCAGTGAGACCTGCCCCTTGCATGCCATGAAATCAAGCTTGCAGGGCTGCCCCTGTGGAGATCTTGCTCTGATTGCAGCTCCTGTCTGGGTTTTCTGGGTCAGGATTATTAATACGGATCATTAATTGGCCTGGCTTTGGGAGGGGTGGGGACATGGGGCTTAGTGCACATCTCAGCAGCCTGCCCTGGCTTTAGTTCTGCTTCTTTATGGGTCCCCTGGAAGATGCTGGTGCTGCTTCTTGTCCTTTTCTCTGTCCCCCTTCCACTGCTGGTAAATGCAAGGGGAGCCTCCTCCTCACCCGTGCTTGTCCCAGAGCCTGCATGGCTGTGCTCAGCTCCCTGGCTATTGCTTTGGGTGTGAGCACCAATGGTACCAGTGTCTGTGTGCAGGAGGGCTTGGTGTGAATAAAGCTGGACTGGTTTTACCTTTTCCCACAGGACAGAGAGGATGCAAACCCCCCTCCCCCCATGAAAGGGCCTGTTCATTTGCAGGGAAACTTCATATCTAGAACTCTCATGACAAATCTGTTTCAAGAGGAAGGGCTTATGGCAATAATAACCCTTGGATATGTATCTCTTTCTTTACTGCTGTGGGATTTATAACAGTCAGAAAGCAGTGAAGCCCAGGATAGCACCGTAACACAGTGTGTCAGCTCACACCATGCTCCCCTCCCTGCATATTTCCCATAGTAATCGGATTTGACTGTTCCTGCACATTGACAGCGCTCGCAGGTTGGCACAAAGGCACGCGCAGCTCCTGGAATTCGAGCCAGTTCCCGGTGTCAGGGCTTGCCTCAGTGACGAGCACTGCCAGGCATCTTGGAGCTTAATCCCATGCAGACCGTGATGGTGTTGGATGGACACGTGCTGGGCACACGCAGGGGTTGGTACATGTGTGAACGGAGGGGGGTGCGCTGCTCAAGGGATGCTCTGTGAGTCCTGGTGCCTCTGATATGCCCAAAGCTCTTGTTGACTGGGGCTGGGAATCAAGGCTGAGAGAGCTGGGCTGGGTCAGACTGGAGAAGAGAAGGCTCCTGAAGGGGAGACCTTAGAGCAGCACCAGTGCCTAAAGGGGCTGCAGGAAACCTGGAGAGGGGCTTGGGACAAGGGCCTGTACGGACAGGCCAAGGGGAATGGCTTGAACCTGCCCGAGGAGAGACTGAGCTGAGCTCTTAGGCAGAAGCTCTTCCCTGTGAGGGTGCTGAGGCGCTGGCACAGGGTGCCCAGAGAAGCTGTGGCTGCCCCATCCCTGGAATTCCATGATTCCATTAAAATGAATGGGCTTGCTTCAGATGAGCCTCTGAATCCCAGAGCACCAGCAGGTGGGAGTGGGATGCGCTGGGGTCTTGGCTGGGTTGAGTGAGGGCAGGGACAGGCTGTAGCAGTGGTCCAGGCTGTGATGTGCCAGTTGCTGGTGAACAGGTTCACTGAGTGCTGCTGGAATTCTGCTTTTGCTACCTGGGAGGTGGGGAAAGGTCTCCAGAAATACCCCCCCCCAGCTGCCTGTGAGGAGGGGTTTGTGGAGGAGCAGAGCATTCCCTGCATCCCGAGCTCCAGTCCCGTTAGGCTGTGATGGGCAAAGAAAAGGCACCTCAAGAACCAGCCTCACAACTGCAGGTTTCTCCGAAGCAACGGCTGGTGTGGTGAAAACTGGGATTTTTTAGCCCTGAGGAGGGAGGGAAGGCAACAGCCCCGGTTCTGCTGAGCAGTAATCACAGGTTGAGGGAAGGAGCTGAGAAATTTAAAGCTAATTAAAAGTATCTGAGGCTTTCTAAACCCACTTCTAAAGCAGACAAATGGAAATAACCCACTGGGTGATGATGAGCTTTGAATTTCGTTAGGAACTGCAGAAGAATAAATTTAGCAAATGGCCAGGAAAGGCTAATGCAGCCCCGGAGCTCCCGCACGCAGGCGGCGCCGGTAATACCCCAAATTCCTGACAATTACCCAGTTTGGGACAGATTTCCACTTATCTTACCCCACCTTGAAACCTTCCTATTGAGCTCTGCCTGCGATTAATCCACATTCATGCCCCCCTTTCTCTGTTCTCTATTATTGCTTTCCCTTGTCACTCAGCGTGGTGACATCCATCCTCACCCATTGGCCCTTTTTTCCTGCTACTGCCCCATTTAGGAAGGATTAAACCTTTTAATTGCAGGGAGGTTTTTTGCCTTTATATTGCTGTGGCGTTGCAGAGCTGCCTGAAGCTCTTTGAGGCTATGGGGCAGCTGAAAGGAAAGCTGCAGCCCAGTGATGTCCAGCATTCCTAACTGGTGGGATGCTCCCAACAGCAGCTCTTGGCCATGGGAGCTGATGTGAATGATGCTATCTCTTCCTGAAGGAATATGGAAGTGGGAATGTTTCAGAAGCTATTTTTTCTTTGAAAGAAGGACCAATACAGGGTGGATAAAAGGCAGAGTGAAAGATGAGACAGCCCAGCATCCATGGCCACGGCATGCAGGAGATGTGGGAGCTGGAGAATGGAGGGGGGAAAAAATGGGATGGCATAGCAAGGGAAAGGAGACAATCACAAAAAGGGAAACGAAATAAACACAGGAAAAAGCCAAGCTGCCTCTCAATAGGCTGTAGGGTTCAATGAGCAGCTGGGACAAAACACATGCAAACACCGTGGCTCCTGAATAATCCAGAGACGGGAGTGCAGGTGATAAGAATGCAACCAAAGGAAGGAGGAAAACAACAGAAAGGAGGAATTACTGAAGGGAGAAACCTGCAGGTGATGCGCTATTCTGCTATGCTAATAGAGAGATGAAAGCAAATGGAACAGGAGCAGAGACTGGCAAAAGTCTTCCTTGTGTTGGAAAGAATAAGAGGATAAACGCTTTTAACATTTATGAAGTAGCAAAATAAAGCAAAGAGAGGCTCAGAACATCAAGCTCGTAGATGAGGAAATTAAAGTACATAAAATATTTATCCCTTCGTACTTAGCGGCTGTCAGCCATGCATGCACTGGAGAAATGGTATGTTTCTAGGTACAGATTTATTCTTGCTCCTATTTCTTCCTCCTCTCCTGGAGATGAACAGGAACAATTTGGTAAATAGTAGCTGAACGCTCCGCTCGTTTTTTCCATTCCATTAATGTTTCATTTCTTAATACCCTCGAAACTAAAATGGGAAGTTTGTGTAAAACATCATTCTCCTTTCAAATCATGGTAAAAAGGAATGTGGTTCCAGGCCAGGCAACAGGACTGTAAACGGGGGTCTGTATTAAAAGGGGAATGTGGTGTTGCTGGAAGAGGCACAGAAAGAGATGTGACCCAGGCTGGTTTTGTGTCACCAGCTGCCTGCAGCCCGGCCCAAGAGAATCACTTCTGGAGGATGCTCTTGGCTCCTTGTCCTCTGCCTGTTTCACCCCGTGCCCTCCCTGACACAGGGAGCAGGTTCATCGGAGCAGGCGACTTAGGGGTTACTGCACTGAAAACACAAGCAGCTTCCTAATTATGGATGTGGGCCTGAGTCGGAATGGCTGTGGAGCACAGCGTGTCCCCGAGCTCTTTGCTGAGTGCTTCTCTCAGTGGCACCGCAGGAACCCGGGATGAGCAGCACCGTGATGCTCATCAGCTCTCTGCACCAGGAGATTGGCACAGGGACAGTGCTCGTGGTCTGCAGAGCAGCACTGGCCCCAGGCAGTGCCATGTCAGCCTCTGGCCTATTGCTAATCTTCATTTGTGTGATAGGGAATCCCGGCTGCTCCAGAGACTTGGCTGCCATCGCCTGCTGCCTGTCAGATGCATTTATTTCCCACAGCAGCACGGAGAATGCACCAGCACTGAGCTAACCTGCTCGGCCTCATTCCGCAGACATCCATCTCCTTCACATCACCGGGCTGCTGGTGCTCCTCTGCCTCTTGGTTCAGTGTCTGGGAGCCTGCTGAGCTGGGGTCCTGGAGCTCCTGGGAGTCCCAAGTGCTGATGTGGCATTGTGTGAGCACTGTCTCCCTTGGGAATAACCAAGAAGCCGCTGGGCAGCCCAAGGGAATTTCTAAACCCAGCCCTTCCATGAATGATGCTGTGGGAGAGCTGAGATTGCGCCTTGGCCAGGGTGGGAAGCGCTGGAGAGCCTGGGCTGCTGCCTTGTGCATCCTTCCCAGGCTTCTGTAAAGCAAAGAGGCATCAATATTTATTTCATTACAGACCTCAAAAAAAAGCCCCTCGATCTTGGTTTTATCAGGAAAAATAAGTTCCTGGATCATTTCTTAGCCTGGCTATGACAGTTTCCAGTGAGGTACTTGGGTGATGTAAGCTAAAATCAGTTCATTAACTTCAGCTGGGATCTGCCAACCTCAACCAGCTTAAAGATGATCTTTTTTTGTCTTCTGGTGACAATTTCAGTCCAAGTAAAGCTGACCCAGCCTGGAGGAGAGGAGAAGCTGATAACCACAACAAGCAGCTTCCTGCATCCCTCACGGTGCAGGTTTCATCTCTGCTGTGGGATCAGAATTTGCTCAGAGAGTGAGGAAAAATAGAAGCAACAGTTTCTCAGTATCACCACTGAGAAATCACTTTAACAGCTTATAATGACACCCCATGGAAGGTGCGCATGGACTCCCACATTCCCAGGATCACAGGGATCTGGAGCCGTGACGTGCAGCCTCCCTGTGCCCCATGTGAGCAGTGCCCCATGGAAACCTGCACCCGGGTCCTCCCCAGTAGGGAAGTCAAAGAAAATCCATCCACAGGGAAGGATCTTGGAAATGCAGGGGGGAAATGGGATAAAGCTGTGTGTGGAGTTAACTGCAGGGAGAAAAGGGGCTGCATCAGAAGTGCAGGGTTTCCTCTGGATTCCCTCTGTCTGATGGCAGGAAGCTGTATTGGTGTGTATGATGGGCTGTAGTGGCGTGAAGGATGCTCTACCTCTTGGCTGTGTTGCACCCTGCTCTTCTCCATGGTGTGGGCTTTGTCTTTGCTGGGCTCCAAAGCTCTCTGAATTCTCTTTGTGTGGCCTTTGTCGTTGGTGTTCTGCATATAGACTCCCTTTGCACTTGATTGAGTCACTGCTTAATTTAATCCTCTAATCTAATCAATACTCCATGGACCGAGCCTTTATTTAAAAAACCAAACAAACAGAAAACCTTCCAGTCTCTTTTTTTGATTGCCTGATGCAGGTATTATTAGGTTAATGCAATCAACGGTGATAAAGCTGCCCTCCATTTAATGAGGGAGCAGTCTCATTCTGCATGCTGGGGATGGGAGCCTGGAGAAGGAAACAACACGGAGCCAAAGTTGGGTGCTCGAGACATTTGTGCTGGCATCATCAGATTCAGAGGTGACCCTTTTATTGCAGGAGGCACCCGCAAGGACTCCACCTCCTCTCCAGATGCTCCACAAGATGAGAGCGTGAAGCAGGACCGGCTCCAGTCCCAAGAGGCGAGGAAGGGTGATGAAAGGTAGGAGGATGGAGAGCAGTGTGATGGGGAATGCAGGTGGAGGCTGTCTCAGTGGTTTGCTCTAGGCTGTATGGTTCTGGTTGCATGGTGTGAAGCTGCTTTTCCTCCTTGGAGCTCCAATCATGCCATGGCATCAGCACACAGCTCCCAGTCACAGGCTGTGCCTGCAGGTAGGTGCTGGCACTCAGCTCAATGGCACAATGCGCCTGCTCTCGATACGCATGAGTCCTCCAGCAGTTGTTCCATCTTTAATCAAATTTGTAGAGCCTCAGGCCGTTCATGAGGAAAAAACCCGTTTTCCATCTGTAATAAGAGGAAAGTTTGGCTGTCAAGGGGCGCAGGTCCTGATGACAAAGTTACCCTTCTTGTTGCGTTTTGTCATGAATTTCCTGCATCGTTACTTTGCTAAGAGTGTTCTCATGTAGGAGGCTGTTCCTGGGCTCTGTGAGAGAGTTGGAAGTGGTAGCAGCAGTTTCCACTTCCAGGGCTTAGCGATGCCTTAGCATGGGTTTAGCTTTGTACACCACGCAGCGTGAAGCAGGGCTCAGGGATCCACTGGATACTGCAGGTGCTCATCCTGGTGCCTTGGGGCTGAGATCCAGAGCTCTGTGCGAAGCATGGGGAACGAGCTGTGGTTCTGCAAACTGCTTGCCGGGTTTTTCCACCCTAGAGTGTGCATTTGTGGATGGTCCTTGCCATCTTTGTCCTCATCTTTCTGGGGAGAATTGTCCTATTTTGCCCACAAGTTGTAGCACTCTGGTTGTGTTGTGCCTTTACAGAAGAGAACCAACAATAACATAGGTAGGCAGGAAATAACCCCCAGAGAAACTACCATAAGCACGAGAAAGGTGATAAAAAGCAACAGAAACATCTCTACCACCTTGTTTTTTCAAGAGAGGTCAATTGACTCCCTGGCACCTTGGAGCCCGTAACAAAATCGATGACACTTCATCTTTAATTTGATTTTTCCATTCAATAAGGGTGGTAAGCATTTGTGTCACCGTAATTTTACAGAGTACCATTAGATAACAGGCAAGTATCAAACATGAATATTATGTGCTGTATCAGTGGCAAAATATTATACCCAGCAATGATTTAGAAGAACTTTAATGTCCCAGGCATGCTATAAGAGATGTCACAAATGGGACAATAAAGTGTCTTGTTCTTCAAATAACCACTCCTGGTGGTGTCTGGCTCTCTGGGAGGCAGACAGGCACCCATGGAACACAATGTCCCATCCACAGCCCGTGACCTGCCTAGGGCAGGCAGCTCATTCTGTTGCTGATGCTGCCCGGAGCGAGGAGGGCGATGGGTTGGAGGAGTGATGGATGCGCTCGCTCCTCGCAGGTCGATAGCAGTGGCCTGCACTGATCCTGCTATTTTTGTGTTTAATTCAGTGAATAAAATGAAACAGGTAAATCACTCGGAGGAGATGCGAGCGGATGTTAATAGGCACATTTGCAGCGCTATCTAAAATTGAGTTCTGCAATTACTGACTCACGGCATCGCTTGTGCTCCGTGCTGCTGCAGGAGCAGCTTTCCCACCAGCATCCAGGGCTGGGGACTGGGGGGACTGGGCAGCTCTGGGGGCTGGGGCTTGTGGGACTGACTGATGGCAGCAGGAGCAGAGGCAGCAGCTGCAGTGGAGGACGAGACCCTCCAGGACAAGTGTGAAACTGGCTCTGTGTGGCCGTTTACCAGTAAGTGACTGGTGTGAGAAGCTGCGGCGTGCCCGGCTCCCTGCAGAGGAGGCTGGGTTGGTGTGGAGGCCAGCTCAGGGAAAGGGGGGATGTTTGCCTTGAACAGCCCTGGAGGAGCCTCATTAGAGCATCCGGCGCTCTCAGGGATGAGAGATGAGGGGGATGATCAAATGGTTGTGGCTGTATTTCAGCGCTGTTGTCATCACCTCTGGCCCTGAGTGAGACCACCCGCTGTGCTGCTGGTTCTGCAGTGGCAGAGCTGAAGAGGCTGCATGCGGAATGCCAAGTGATGGGGAGATGTTCTGCATCCCTTCTGCTGAGTAACCCACCCCACAGCACCATGCAGTGGGGTGGACTGGGAATATCCCCAAGTGCAAGGAGCCCAAACCTGTGTGAGGGTGCAAAGAGGCATCCACAAACCTCCCAGCTACACTCCTGCATGGTGGTGGTGCCTCTACCAGTTCTGTTCAGCCACCAGATCAGAGGCAGGGTTTCTTCTGTGACTAATCTCCATCCTGCCGCACTGCTGGCTGCTGCCATGGTGGCGTTGCCGAGCTCCTCATAGAGGACACGGTGCCTTTCTCCACAGGAAATGCAGAAGCTCAGCCATGGGCTGTGCTTTTTATCTGGGCTGGGATGTGGGACCTCCGGAGCATCCGCAGCCCCGACCCTGCCAGGCCTGTGGGAGGAACAGTGGAGCTGGATGGTGCTCTGCCAGCTTCCCAGAATAGCATCCGAGGCAAGGCCAGATCAGCCCCTGCAGAGCCTCGTTGTTGGAGCAGTGGGAATCTGTCCTGCAGCACGCGGTGTTCCCACCTCTGCAGCACAAGTAAAGGATCAGGGACTTGGATGATGCAGCCATCAACCCCTTTATCTCCACCGAGCAGCCTTCATCTCTCGGATCATCAGAGTCATTGTGGTTACCGAAAGCAAACCCGAGCCAACTGCTATTCGGAGCTGGTTGGGCGCTGTGGCTAATCCCATTATGCGGAGCAGGAGGCACCGGGGGAATCGCATGGCACTGGTAAAGCTGCACGAAGCAATTACAGGGAAACCTCTGGGCTGCGCACAGGGATGTGCTGGGGGCTCAGCCCCAAACTGGGGACAGGCAGGGACTTGTGGGAGGGATGTTCCCAGCTGAGCATCTCCTGGCTCTGCCTTTGCAGGGAGCCCCTTTGTGCTCACAGTAGTGCCTGGTGAAGTGGATGCTCTTCTCCAGGTCCATCCCAGCGCCTTTCCCATCTAAATGTCTGCTCATCCCTGGTCAATGCACAGCTCGGCAAAAACCTCTGCCAGAAGCCAAACTGGGGCTGCAGGACTGGGGCAGTGTCATGGTCCCATGCCAGGCGCAGTGAACCAGGAGGCATTGGGAACACAACCCTCTTGGCACTGTGGAACAAAGATGTCTGATCCCACAAGGTGTAGAAGATGCTGATGGATAACGGTGCAGGCCGTAACTGAATGGTGTTAGATAGCGTGCTGCTACTTCTTTGTTTTTATAAATCTTAAATCATTCCCGGGCTCTTGCTGCTGCTTTAAATTGTAACTTCACTGTTAAAGAGTTTATCGTGCACTAATTCATCCAGCCCGTTCATTTACATTCTGCTGACAGGGTACAAAATTGCTTCTTTTTTCATCCCGGAGAATTCCAACTTCGGCAATTTATGGTGCCTTCTTGATTTAATCAGGATATTTCCTAAACTTCCATGGCAACAATACGACATTTCTCAAGAAGTACCTGGGAGATGGCTGGGTGTTATTATTTATATCCCTGGTGAACACTGTGTTCCTGAAGGATTTGCCACCAGTCAGTGCAAGGGGGGTGCATGGGCTGGAAGCTGTGGGGTGGGGCAGGGGTCCCTCCAGCAGGAAGGACCCCAAGAGCTCCTTTTTTTGCCATTATCCCAAATGTCCATGTATCATTCTTCCCCATTCCCACCCCAAAGAAGCCTGGAGCTGTCGGGGATTGATGGGTATGTTGCCCACCCATCCCTTGGTGCCACTGATGGAGCTGTTTGGTGCTGCTCTGCAGAGCCCATACCGTACCGTGCTGAAACGCTGTTATTTCACTCTTCCAAACACTGTCAGCACAAGTCACAGGAGGGCTTATTTTTGGCTCTGCTCAGCGTAGTTACCTAGCAATTTGCAGGAGGTTGGTATTACTGGGTAGTTTCTTGAGCCGCTCTGCAGCGAGCAATTCATTTGTTGCATTTGGTTCCTTTCACTGCTCACAAACAGCCCAGACGCCAGCTTGGAGTCTTGCAAATTTGTTCTCAGTTGGAAAGATTTCAGCCCCGTTGGTTGTTTGTGAAATATTTCCTCTGATCCTTGCTTTTGAGGGCTCGACGCCTGTAATTCCCAAATCACGCCTGGGCTCGGGCTGCCGGTGTGACGCAGTGCCTCTCCTCGGCCCTCTGAGAGGAAAAGCACAACCTGTGCTGGGTGACTAGCCTGTAGGACAGCACCTGGGAGCCTCTTCCAATGTTCCGCTATCCCCTTTCCCAGGCTGGAAGGGAATAACGGGCAAACACGTTCCTCTTCCGGCTCCTGGCTGTGCGCGTTGCCCTGCGTGCACAGCATCACCGCTCTAATGAGCTGTAAATACTGTTTACATTGGGCTTATTATCTCCAAGGTAATTTATGCTTTCCTGCTCATCCAGGGCGTTCAGAGGCCTTCTGCTGCCCGCAGAACTCGAAGCACTGTGATGAAGAACTGCTATTATTCAGCTAAGAAGCAATATTGATGCTAAAAAGCAAACGCAGTCACTGCCTTCCATCCTCCCAGCATCAGTCTGGAGGGGGAAATCCCAGGTGGTGCAGAACAGGTCAAGCAACACCCAGATGGCAAAGAGCCATGGTGCTATGAGGAATTTTCCAGAATCCTGATTAGTAACAAATCAGAGATGGTTCAATTCCATGTATTGCTACCCACATGACTAAACTATAGTGAAAGATGCATGTCTTGGCTTGCAGGTGCAAGAGGGAGGGTTTATTGTCTTCTCGGTCCCTTCTTGCAGGAGGCTGGGTGCTGTTGGTGTGTGACAGGCAGTGAGAACCCTGTGGGCTGGTGGGAGCAGCCCCATCTGCAGCGTGTTCAGACTGATGGAGCGATGGCTATGGCTGAAGGGCACTCATTTAACCCCATCATTGTGGCTGTGTCTGCAGTGGGCAGCTTTGTGCAGGTACGGCCGATGCTTCTCGGGGGAACGTGTTTATGGAAGTTCCCACCCGCGGCACATAAATGTTCATTAGTTCTATTATCCCGACCATTTTGTTCTCCAAAGTGTTGCAGAGAAGACAAAATGAGAGCGATGGCTCTCTCGGAGCTCCAGCGGGTGCTGGATGTTTGCTTTAAATAGAATTAACCATGCAAATTGAATCATGTGAGCGTAAATTAGCGCTCATTCCGCCGGTGCTCTCGATATGGCTTAACCTACCATTTACCCCAAGACATCTGCTAAGTGCCATTCTTTCGAGTACTTAAACAGCACCTATTGCTACCAAAACCGTCCCAGCCCCACCGAACAACAAAGCTGCCGGAAAGCCTGTAATTATCGTTAAAGGGCTATTGTGCTTCTGGAGATGATGAAGCCTCGGGTGAGGCTTTCCAGGCTGGCTCTCCCGCTTGCCAAGGGGAGGTGGAGCGGAGCTGGGGCTGAAGCCTTGCAGCCTCCCTTCCTCTGGCTGCTGCGGCTGGGGCTTGGTACAAGGAATTGGAAGGATGCTGTGAGAGGGGGGCTGGATTCCCCAGGTTTCTACCTGTTGTGAGGAGGCCGTGTGTCTGCTGGGAGATTCTGGCTCTATCTCTTGCTGCCATCGCATCCCCTGCAGCTGATATGGAGGGAGAGGGCCCAGGGCTGCAGCGAGCGCGGTGTTGCTCCTCCAGCCTTTGCTGCAGTGTATTATTTACACGGTTATTTAAGCCTTTGTTGTCATAGCCAGGAGAATTAATGCATTAACCTCGCAGGGAAGGTGGAGTGGCAGCAGCTGGAGGCTCAGTCCTTCAGAACGGGTTGGCTTCTGCAGGTCAGATCGCAGCTGAAAGCGTGGTGGATGGGGAAGAAGGACAGAGGGGGCAGCATTGCCGGTGTCCCATGGATGGATGCTCAGCCTGTTCCCGGCCCCTCGTGGGAAACGCGGCTGTGATGCTCATTGGCTTCATGTGGAATTCCTGCCCCCTTCCTGCAGCGTGAGAAAACTCATTGTGGTGGGTATGAATAGAGTTGGGCACAATTCCTCCACAGCAGTTATGCAAATTCCCAGCCATAATGACACATTGTCTTGTGCGATCCTGCGAACAGATGGCCCGAAGACAGGCTCAAGATCGGAATTAGTCCTGGGCTCCTGCAACGTAGCTGGGAGCATACGGTCCTCATAGATTCCTTGTTTAGCCTTGATAGCCAAGTGAACTGCTTCAGATGAATACAAGAAGAGCACAGACAACAAGACAGTGATGATTCAGTGGTGCTCAGGCTCTTTGGAGAGGCTGAAACTGTCCCTTCTCAAACTCCTGTATCCTTCCAGCAGCAGAAGTTTTGCTGCCAATGATCCACGAACATGGAAGCAGCTCTTTCCCCTGCGGAAACATAGATCCCTAAGGCAGATGCCTGCTCCCAGGCACCTCCTGGGATGGCCTGTGTCATGCTAAGGTAGAGGAAGGCCTTCATCAGCAACAAGTGTTAAAGTTGGTATCAAGCTCAGGTTGCCCAAAGCCTGGTTGTAGCAAGGCCAGAGGATGTTGGTCTCATTCTCACTGTAAAAAGCAAACTGCCACCTTCTCCTGTGTGGATACCCCTGTGAGGTGCAGATGCAGAAGCTGGGATGCGGGCAGGAGCACAGCCCCACTTTTGGCCGGGGCAGTTTCTTTGGCTCCTTACAGCATCACTCCCATCTGACAGCAGCAGCCTTCAGGGATCGAGCTCAGAGCCTGCTTCAGACCTGTTATTTATGCTACAGCTTCCCAGCCGGCCCCGAGTGTACCAGCAGTGGTTTATAATTCCATTTGGCACTTTGTTTTATTGCAAGGCTTTAGGAATGGCTCTGATGGATAGCTCCGGTCTGCTGGCTGGCACATCCACGCTGCACATGCTTGGTCAGGTGCTGGTTCCAACTTGGAGCTGTCAGGAGGGGCACCTAGTTTGCAGAATGGGGCATTGTATGTTCATTGCTTATAGCTTTGTAAATTCATGAAGTATGGGGATTCTTCTCCATTTATTTCAACCTAAAGATGTTTTTAAGGCTGTTCATCTGTGCTGCTTGGGATTTCTCCAGGGACAAAATAGAAAACAGATACATATGGTGAAAGTGCTGAGCAACGATGATTGATTCTGTCAGTTAAATGTCATACCAGCATTAAACAGCGTATGCTGCTGTAACTGCCTCCCCACTCATGTCAGAGCTGAACCCTTCCCATCAGCAGGTGAGCTGCCATTGGCACTGCACAATGCAGCATCTGGGTGAAAAAGGGACTTTTTCTTCTAAAGCTAGGCTATTTCTAATCAGCTCAGTGTCTGGGTCCTAATATTTGCCTGGGGCAAGTTCTTTTGTTCTTTCAGAAGTCTGAGTAAGTGGTCCCTGAGGATTGTGGCTGAGAAAACATGTGGGAAGGGGTGTTGGTGCCAACGTGGATCCATGGTACCACAGATGCGGCCATGCCAGGACCAGGCTCTGCCCAGCTGCTCCTGTGCTTTTTGCAGTCTTGTGTGTGTGCCCCCCCTCCCAATAATAAGTAGCAGCAGAAGTTCAAACTGATGTACTTGTTCTTTTCCATGTTCTGCATTGTAAACCAGCTCGGTGGCTCAGCTGGGAATTCCCTGGGACAAGGGCAAACAGAGCCTGCTGCTGGCCCTGGATGAGCTGTTAGGATGCTATTGGAGGAAGCACAGCCCATTGCAGGGACCCGAGCGACCTTTCATTTCCTTTTAATTGCAAAGCAGATTTGAAATTAATTGATCCTGATGTTTTCTTAAAGGAGGGATGAAAAGAGGGCAATGTGATTTCAGACTGGGCCAGATGAAATACCAGGGAAGATGATATTTGCTGGGGCTTCATCAGCCCTCAGGGGAGCTCTTTCCCTGTGTTGGGGGAGATTAGTGGTTGATGACTGGGAAATACCATGGGGTTTCTCTGTCCTGTTTGCATGTGTCCTCCAAATGCTGCTAGAAAAGGTTTTCTGAGCCCCTCAGCCTCCAAGAGAGCTGGTTCAGGGCGACCTCCTCCAGCCCCTTCTGAGGGATGTGGGTGATGCTGGTCCCCCCACGCTGATTGCCAGCGCCACCAGCATCATCGGTTTCCATGGCAACGGCAAGATGCTGTGCTGTGGAGCTGGGTACTGGTGCATGCCACAGGCTTCTGCTGGTTCCTTCAGGAAGCTGGAGGAGTTCATGGGAACCTGGGTGCAGGGCACAGAGCTTAGCCAGGGCTGGCTGTGAGGGGCTTTATTTCATAGCAGAGCTTGAGCAGGGCCCCTGTGCTGCATGGGAACACTCAGAACCCTGCAGAGAGGCACAACATGCGTATGTTTTCAGCAGGGCAGCAAGACAAATGAGCCCAGCTCTTTGAGCCATCCATCTAACTCACATCCTCTGGACCCCACAGCCTTCTCCAAGTAAATTAAGTCTCGTGCCTGGCACTATTTGCGCTACTGAGCTGGTTTGCCTTGAGGCCCAGTAGCCTCTGGTGGGTTTTGGGGAGCCCAGGGTGAGACCTGGCTCTGTGCAGGGCATGATGTAAAGGGACTGGGCTGTGTGCTGTGCAAACAGGCATTTCAGCTCTATTTCCCTCTGCTGCCAGGTACTACCGTGGGCAGAAGGTGGCTTGCAGGATCCCAGGCCTCCTTCATGCCCAGCAGGCTTATGCTAAACAAGGTGAAGAGGGGAGGAAAGTCACTGACCCGTGCAGACAGAGGTGATGGCACAGGGCTGGCAGGGTGAGGAGCTATCCCAGTGTCACCACTGGTGCTACTGGGGGGGGTATGGCCGAGTGTGGGCCATTTTTCTCCCTCTTATCTAAGCTATTGCCTGTCACTTGTTTCTGTTTGCATTGGGCAGATAAGTGCTATGGTTGCTGGGATAACATCTTTGTCTGGTGCTGTCCTTGGAGTGAGAATTTAGGGGTTTATCCCCTGCTTTAACCAGACACCTCACCTGGATGCTCGCTGTGGACCATGGCCCCATGGTGCTGCCCACACTCCCCGAGCAGCACTGTGGCTCCCACCCAGGATGCTGCAGGCAGAGCAAGGGGACACAGACTGTTCTAATACAATCCTGGTTTGCCCTGAGAGCAGCCTCCTGCTGTACTGGACTCCCTGCTGCTTCCCAATCCCTCTTTGCTGACACGCAGAAGCAGACAGGCTGTGGATTCAAACGTGCTCCCTGTGTGCCCATGGCAGGGGATGCAACACTGCCTCCTCCCTTTCCTGGGAATTATTAATGCTTGGAGCCAGGGTCCTCCAGCCTCGGGAATGTGCAAGTGATGGATGCTCCTCCGTTGTCTTAATTTTCCTGTTTGTTGCACCCGGGGCGCGTGCCCTGTGCTGCTGCAGGCTCCGGGTGCTGCTGCTCTGATATACACACCTTCCTCTTCCTCTAGATTGTATCTTTATGTGTGTTGTAACTCACTCCGCTCCTCGCTGGCTCTGGCAAGGAATTCATCTCTCCTCTGCCTGAGCCTGGTCACTGCAGGCTATGGGGGAGCTGGTTTTTAAGGTATGTGGGCGCCCTTGCTCTGTGTGCGTGTGCCTTTGGAGTGAGAAGCAGGAGGTCAGCCCTCCTTCCCATGGGTTAAGGACCATGGAGCCCACTGGAGGGGTTTTAAATAGAGAGCTTTGGCCTCTGCTCATGTAAAAGTCACTCCCTGCTTCAGCAACGTTGCCGGAAACAAGCTCTTTTCAAAGCCAGGATTCTCTTTCCATAGCCACAGCCATGGCAGTGGCAGGAGGCCTGCAGGACAGCCATGCCTAGGCTGGTTGGGCAGATGTGTGGAATGGAAGGTCCAAGACCATCTCCTTGCTCAGGTGAGGTCTGTTTGACCGGCAGGCTGCTGCCATCGGAGAGCATTGGCTCTGCAGGTAGAGGCCCAGTATTTGTCTGCTTTCACAGGCTGGATAGTGTC